TGGTGGTTTGAACTGCTGACCTTCTGGTTGGCAGCCAAATGCCTGACCCACTGCACCACCAGAGCTACAGGCCCTAAGCCCGTATCAAAAAGAAAACAGAAGTACTGCATGTCCATGACACCTGAAGAGTTGGGATGGCCATTAAGAAGGGCCAGGAAAGTAATGATAAAGAACCTATCCAAGGTATTATGAAACCAAAACTGGAACCAAACTCACTGCTGTCAAGTGGATCTGACTCTTAGCGACCCCTCCTTGGGTTTCCAAGGTGGTGTCGGTACGGAAGTGGACTGCCCAACCTTCCTTCCAGGTAGTGGCTGGTGGGTTTGAACCTTCTGCTTTGGGCACTATGCCACCAGAGCTCCCACGAGCAAAGAAGAGTGAATAAAATCAAAGAAATAAGGAAACAATTAGTCCAAAGGACTGATGGATCATGCTTATCTCCGCTTCTACTACCCTGAGACCAGAAGAACTAAATGATGCCTGGCTCCCACCACCTACCAGTCTGATTGGTTCTGTTTGGGATCACAATAGAAAGTTCTGGACAAAGTGGGAGAAAACTGTGGAACAAAAGTTAAAGTCATAAAAAATGTCCGAATTACTTGTCAGATAGAAACTGGGAGAATCCTCAAGACTGTGGCCTTTATACACCTACCCCACCCCCAAGACATGGACTTCAAACATCCTTCAAGCCTGGAACTGAACTCACCCCTGTAGATTAACTTTCAGCCAAACAACAGATAGACCTATAAAGTGAACAGCAGCACAGGGAGGAACACACGCCTTACAGCAATCAACCTTATGAGACCAAAAGGGCAACATTTGTCCCCAAACAAAGCTCAGAAGGATGGAAGGGGCAGGAAAGGACCAATGGAAATGAGTAGCACAGGGACCAAGTGGGACGAGTACTTACACTGAGGGGATTGTGATCAATGACACAAAACAAAACATGTATAAATTGCTGAATGGAAAACTAGTTTGCTCTCTAGACTTCTTTCACCCCAACCACAATAAAAAGTTAAAGGGTAAAAAAAAAAAAAGAGTTGAGATGGCACGGACCACAGACAATGAGGAGTCTGTAAGCGTTCCCAGGTGGGCACAGTTCTCGTTTCTCAGAACCACGGAGATTCTCTCCCGCTGACCTAAGGTTACTTGTGTATTCACTGTTTTTTTTTTTTTTTTCCATTATGGAAAAAAATATATATATAACCAAACATTCAGCAACATTAACTACAGCCGCCACGCTGTGCAACCATCACCACCGCCCGTTTCCAAATTTCTCTATCACCCTGAATAGGTGCTCAATGCCCCCAGACAATGACGTCCCCCACTTTAAAAGCATAATGATTTTTAAAAGGAGTCAGTCCGGTGGTGAGAAGGAAAAGGAGTGAGCAGGTAGGAGGATGAACACAACACAGGGAAAGACCACGAAACACAGGTCATCAGACCACTTATCCACCAGAACAATGCCACATCATTGTAACGAAAGTCCTCCCTGCTGGGCAGTCAACTATACAATCCAGGAGGCTCTCCAGGGCAAGTGTGGCTTTGGGGATCCATAGAAGTGAACCCCTGGTCTGTCTCGGTCAGTCCTTGGTTCAGCCCATCTTCAGCACGCAGACCAAAGTGTGGTCCTTCGGGGCAGGGCTGGTGATTGGCAAAGCCCTCCATTCCCCACCACGGCCCTGATAACCAAGAGGTACATGTGGGGCTGTCCCAGGTCCCAGTGCCAAGAAACTGGAGGCCGAGAATCAAGATCCCTCCAAAGGTCCCACAGTCTGGGGTTCAGTTCACCAAACCAGAGCCCCCCAGCCAGCAGGGAAAACCAGGCACTAACTATCCTGCAAAGAGGATGGGAAGGTGGGGGTGACACCCTTTGGGGGCGCACGTTCCCACTTCTCTTAGTTTTAAGTCTTCCCCTTCTGGGTTCACTTCTTGGCTAGAAATACTGTGGTGGCATCTACTTGTAAAGCTGGCATGCACTGTGACACAGCCCAGTAGGCGGCATGAATCCATCCCAGACCCTACTTGGGTGGGTTCTCAGGACAACAGCTCATCTGGTATTGATGCCACTGGTATTTGGGGTCGGGTCCCCTCCAAGAACCCCACAAAGCATCTTCTGCCTTACATGCCATGGTGTGAATTGTGCCCTCTCAAAACGTATGTGGAACTCCTAACACCTGTAGCTGTGAATGTGACCTTGTCTGAAGGTACCACTATCAGTTGGGTTAACATGAGGTCACACTGGAGTAGGGTGGATCCTAGTCTGATCTGAATGGTGTCCTTACAGAAGAAGAGAAGAAACAAAAAGGCACAGAGGGAAGACAGCCATGTGACCATGAAGTGCCACTGTAGCTGCAAACCAAGGAACACCAGGGGCCACCAGCAGCTTGAAGAGGCAAAGAACGATCTTCCCTAGAGTCTCTGCAGGACACATGGCGTTGCGCTGGGACGTCCAGCCCCATAACTGTGAGATGATGCATTTCTGTTCTCGGAGGCCCCCCAGTCTGTGGGACTTGTTACAGTGGCCTCGTAGACCCATGTATACGCCAAATCCCCAACCTTCTGCGACAGCCTTCCTCGATCCACCCAACCAATCAGTCCTCTCTGCTCTGAGCCCCACGGGTGTGACTCACTCCCGCACCTCTGAGCCCCTGGAGTGGCAACCTTGGCTTACCCTCTTATACACTGCCTCCCACAGAGCCGGGAGGTGAAACAAACCCAAGACCAGATCTGACAATGAACAGCAATGCCACACACCAGCAGGACGGGGTCCCCACAGCTACTCACAGTCGACGTTCCACTGGAGGGCCCAGCCATGGGGCCGCAGCAGGTCGCCCACGGCCTCGAGAACCGTCCGCAGCTTCTGCTTCTGCCCGATTTCGGACTGAGTCACCTCAGCCACGTTCAGCCTACAGTCCGCCAGTTTCTCTGAGAAGACAAGGACGAGAGGAACAGACAGGTGTCAGAAAGCCGGAGGGACACGCGGCAGGGAGGCAAGCTGGCTGTGATGTGATCGTCCTGCGCCACCTGGGCCCCGGAGTGGAAAGGGGGAGTTCCGAGATGTCAGGTCAAGGAACTCAGCCGCCCGGTCCTTCATCTTCCTTAGACAGTGGTTCCAGGATGACAAAGGGAGGGACATTCAAGGCTGAAACTGCGGGTGTCCCACTTGGGAACATTCCACGCACCTGAAATGGAAAACGTAACTCAAAGACCAGTTGGGCAACAAGGAGGTCAGCCTGGCAGAGGCGGGGGGGGTGTTGAAACAGTGGGGAGTTGGGTTTGTGGGTTCCCAGATGGAAGAGGCCTTTGCTAAGGAAAACAAGGGTCTTAAAGGTGGCCTCCTGCCTCGTGCACAGAGAGGCCTCATTCTTGTTGCTCAAACATGCTGACACCATAATGAGAAGGAATAATAGTTGTTCACAGGGGCCCCGCGACGGCTGTAGTACCACGTGTGAGCACAGGAAGCAATCTAGAAAGGCCGGATAGGGCTGTCACATCCACTTGAGAATCACTTATGAAGCCTCCAGCCCAGCGGCCTGGGCTCCCGTAATCTCTGGAGCAGGGAGCCCTGTAGGTGACAGGAGACACCACGCGACACGCCACCCCACACCTGCTAGAGGGCAGTGGGGCTGCAGGCTCCCAGGGGTCCCTCCTGGCCATTCATTCTCTGACCTGGTCGTTTCCTGACCCATCTCCTCGGCAGAGCAGCTCAGGCGACAGGACAGAGAGGAACTGATGAGAGGGTGGCTACAGAGCCGACGCCCAGACGGGAGATGAGGAGGCAGGCAGACCCAGGCTGGCCGCAAATGGGGCTTCCGGCCCAGAAGTGACCCCAGCAAAGCTCTGTGTGAACGCTGTGTTGGAGGGGCCACCAAAGCTGACGTTCTCTCCCCAGGCCCCTCCCTCGCCATAATTAGAACAAAATGAGTATTTTAATATTCTCTTCAGGACAATCTATACGGGAATGTCTGCTGGGCTTTGGGTGTCCCTTCACGCATTCACTGTCTGCTGATGAAAGTTACTGAGCGCCCAGGATATGCCACGTACTGTTCCCGGAGCCAGGGTACCCTGTGGACGGGCACTGTTCCGGGTGCTGGGGTGCACCGTGGACAGAAGAGGGCCCTCGTGGGGAGCACGAGGAAAGGCACACAAACCCTTTCCACCCGGCAGAGTCTCAGCCCCGTGACCCCCGCGGGTCAGGAGAGCTGGGCCCCGTGGGGCTCTCAGGGGCTGATTTTTGAAAGCAGGTCCCCAGGCTTTCTTCCGAGGTGTCACAGGATGGACTTGAACCCCCAGCCTTTCAGTCGGTAGCTGAGCACCTAACTGGGCCCCCTCCGGGTCTCTAGTGGGAAGACACCAAAACAAACACACACAAAACTGTTTTGCTTGTCGATTGTGACTCTGTGTCGGAGCCAACCGGCTCCACTGGGCTCTCCTGGCTGTGAGCTTACAGAAGCAGAACGTCAGGCCTCTCTTTTCAGGCCACTGTGGGGGTTTGAACCGCCAGCCTTTTGATGGGCAGTCGAGCACGAATCCTTTGCACCACTCAGGGACAGCGAGAGACAGACGCACCTAAATGACCGCAGACCGGACGCGGGAGGGCGGCGGCACCGCACACCGCGTGCTGAAGGCAATGGGGAGGGCTCTGGTTCGCTCACGTTTATTTCCCTCCATCCTTGTCTAACGGGCCGGCTGGATGACCTGAAGCTAAAACAGAGGCTGTGGGGCTCACCGACCCAGAGCGCAGCAGACCAGGGGCCCCTGGGGAAGGAAGGAGTGACAGGGGTCCCAGAGAGCTGGCAGGTCCGAGAGCCTCGCCCACTGAGACAAGGATTCCAGCTCAGCCCTGCTGTTCACCTGCAGACTGTGACCCCGACATGCCCCTCAGGTGGAGGAGGTTTTGTTGTTGTTACGTGCCGTCGAGTCGGACCCGACTCATAGCAACCCCTCCTTGAGTTTCCAAGGCAGTATCACTACGGAAGTAGATTGCCCAACCTTCCTTCCAAGGCGTGGCTGGTGGATTTGAACCGCCAGCCTTCTGATTAGCAGCCAAGTGCCTTAGGCACTGCGCCACCAGAGCTCCTGGGTGGAGGAGGACTCAGGTGGAAAAGCAAGACCACCATGGGGCCGGCTGTGTCTGAGGGCTCTGGAACGCTGAGTCTTGCTTTTTTAATTTTTTATACGCAGTGGACCTTACCCCACTCATCACTGTCTACACATACAATTCCGTAATGTCGGTTAAGTCTTCGCCCCACGTCACCGTTCCTGCTGTCTCTCCACCGCTGACTCCCACCCACTGCGCTACGCTTTCATCTGTGGGTCAGAGTTACTGTCTCCAAGGTGATCTCCGCAGGTAATTCGTGCTCACAGCCAACGTGCTTCACCAATTTAGCGAAACAGCTGCTTTTCAAGATGACTCCAGGGGATCATTTTGGTTCATGGTTTGAAGATTTTCTCAGAGAGTGAAGAATGTAGCCAATGCTATTTGTACAGGTAGAAACTGATGGAAAGGGGTGGAAACGTGGAACAGAATTTCAAATTCTTAGAGAATCCAGGCTTAGTGGACCCACCCTTTGGTTCAGGATTCATGTACCGATTTGTGGGCAGGGTCTTGGTGCCTGTCCGTGTAGGAAGAAGAGGCCCTTGGATTAGACCTTCCTGAACAGCTCGGAGACATGCTGTGGCCAGGACCCTGTTTTACTAGCATGGAAAGGGGCAGAGGAAGGAGGGGATGGGGTGATTCCCAAGAGCGGGAGGCAAAGAGAGCTGACGGCCGAATGTTGGGCTATGGACTCTTAGCACACGAGCAGGGCCTGAGTTTTGCAATGAGAGGGTGAGTCTGTGAGTTCAAGCATACTCACAGCTGGTCCAGGCGCTGCCTCAAGACCCCAGCTGCTCACCCTCACTGTCCACGTACAGGCTACCTTGAGAGTAACCCCCCAAGGACAGAAGAGCTGTAGCTACAAAAGTCCTGCGAGATGGCAAGGACTCGGGCAGCTGCTCACCCAGTCTCCTCCCAAGGAGAGGAGTCCATCCTGGGTCCATGGGGATTCACCCTCAGCCACCTCCACATGGAGGTCCCTGCTCCGTCCACATCTCTTTCACACCCACCTCCTTGACACACCTTAGCCCCTATCTCTCCCAGAGGCTCCCGCCCCCCACGGCTGACCCTTCTCAGCCGGCCACCCAGGGCCCCCTACACATGCACAGAAATTGGCTTTGGCCTTGACATCCAGCCCAAATCTCCCGTTTGGATTTGGCTCTGCCTTTGGGAAGTCGAGCAGCCGAACACCTATGCCAATGTCATTCCTGGCACCCCTGGGTTGGGCTCACGTGGTCACGTGGTTTTACTATCACATCTTGTCAATGTAACAATATCAGTAATATGACCAGGCATGACGTGTTTGTGTTCTATTACTACCCTGATGTTCTCTTCCATTGTTCTTTTTTCAAAAAAGTGGTGTGTCCAAAACTTGACACACAAGAGATTTCAGAACTGCCTTATCAAGCACTTATTGGGAGATATGCAAATGGGATAGAATAGCAGCTTCTTTGTGGTAAAAAGGTTGCATGGGCCAAAGTCAGCCTCACAGTGTACTTGGCAGATGGCAAGACTGACGTAGCAGGACTCACAAGCCAGTGGCTCCAGGGCAAGTCTGCATCACTGGGCCAGCTGAAGAAGGAACCAAAACGACGTGAGCCCTGCTACCAGATCCCACCAGTCCGCTCCAGGGAAGGTGCTTATGCTGTACAAAGGCAAACAGGCAGAGACACAGATACAAACTCAGAGCCTGGCCTGTGGGCCTGAGAGCCGTTCCAGGGCTCCGTGGACACACTGCTAGATCTCGGGCTTCGGGGCACGACTGTCTCAAGTGCCGGGCTGAAGCCACAACCACACACAAAACCATCAGGAATAAAACACATGGAGTGAGCAGCACTCTTAGGTTTGCTCCTGAAAACACTGGAAGTATCTCCTTCGGGCAGCGGGCAAAGCAGCCATTCCAGGGACAAAAATCAAAGAGCATCACCGTGGTTTGGGCCAAAAATCCAACACAGAGTTACCATACGATGCAGCAATTCCGCTCCTAGCTAACTGCCCAAACTTGAACACAGAGACTCAAACCGACACTTGTGCGATCCCAGACATCCCATCCCCACGTTCTGTGCTGCTCCCAGGACCTCCCCACGCTCCGGATGCCATGAACCTGGCTGTCAGCCTTGAGCAACCATGACTCATCCAGAATCCTCCCTGATACCACCTCATGCCCCCTCATCCACCCAGTCTGCGCCCCGTCACCAGATGATGCTGTGACGTGTCCTGCCTGCTCACTCGACTCTGACCTCTGACCTCCTGCTCATCCATTCTCCACCAGCAGCCAAAGTGGCCTTTTAAAACTCGAACTCCAAGCACATCCACACCCTGCTCAAGCCTCCAACAGCCTCCTGTCATTTAGAATGAAAACCACCGTCCACCAGGGCAAGCCATGATCTGGCCCTGCCTCCACCTGGCCCCACAACTCTCTCCCTCCCTCACTGCCCTCCAGCCTTGCCAGCCCCGTTGCTGCTGCTCCAAGCGGAGTTTGCCTCGCTTCAGCCCTGGCCCGGAACGTTCCCCATGCTCACGGAGACTCCCCCAAGGGGCCTCTCTGACTGCACAGCCTCCCGGCCCTCTGGCCCCACTCAGCCTGTAACCCTCTCTGGTTTTCTTCCTATACCTGTCGGCCCTGAGCATGTCTCCTTAACTTTAGGTTGAACACTCCATAAATCTCCTCTAACCATCTTCCTCCTCTCTGCTGGAAGGTGTCCTGCAGAGGGCGAGACCCTCGTTCCTCTTGGTCCCTCTGTGTCTCCACGGTCTACATCCTGTCACGGAGCCATGACATAGGCTTAGATCAGTTTTCAAGTCAAACGCTGGTCTGTTGTTGTTGTTGTTGCTGCTAGGTGCCGTCGAGTCGTCTCTGACTCATAGCGACCCCACGCACAGCAGAACGAAACACCACCCGGTCCTGAGCCAGCTCCACGATCCCTGCTAAACTTGAGCCCACTGCTGCTGCCACTGTGTCAATCCATCTCGTTGAGGGCCTTCCCCTCTCTCATCGACCCTCCACCTTACCAAGCATGACATCCTTCTCCAGGGGATGGTCCCTTCTGACAACATGACCAAAGTAAGTGAGACGAAGTCTGGCCATTCTCGCCTCCAAGGAGCATTCCAGCTGCACTTCCTCCAGGACGGACCTGCTAGTTCTTTCAGCAGTCCACAGTCCTTTCAGCATTCTTCGCCAACACCACAACTCAAAAGCATCAATTCTTCTTCGGTCTTCCTTATTCATTGTCCAGCTCTCACATGCATAAGAGGCAACTGAAAATACCATGGCTTGTGTCAGGCACACCTTAGGCCTCAAGGAGACATTTTTGCTCCTCACCACTTGAGAGAGGTCCTTTGCAGCCGACTTGCCCAAGTGCTATACAT